CAATATCATTTTCACAATATTTTAACCCAAGTCCATCCATCTTTTCTACAACATTCAACATAAATTTATCCATATATTCCACGGTAAAGCACGGGACATAATCTAGTATATAATATAACAGCCTCATCGGATGGCCTAATAAGTCAAAGAAAAAGCCTAATTTTAAATTTTCAAGTTTAATTTTAAAATTAATTTTGACATATTTTCAACATAGTTTCTTTTTCAACATTAGCTTTTAAGTCACAAATAACACATTTCTAAAAGTTTTACCCACAAATTCATTTTTATTTCCTAATAAGCCGTTTTGGCTTATTAGGAAATAAGCCAACCAATGGGGACCTGAGTGACGGTAGAAATTATTTTTTTAATGCCCCACAAATAATTGAGATGAAAAAAAAGTGTAAGTGGGCTGGTTTATTTGTTGTGGCCCAAGCAAAGCAAGCAAGCTAGCGTAGAATGCAGGGCCTTAGCCGGCCCATGAGAGCAGCATCAGGCAACCAGCAAAGCAAACAGTAAGCAACTCGTAAAGCTCCTGTAGCATCGCAAATTAGTAACCACGTCGGAAGTTTGCAGTGAGAGGGAAAAGCTTACAAGAAGGAGATCCTAATATCCTATGTTCAAAAAAAAAAAAGGAGGAGATCCTGGACAATAACAACACTGAATATAAACCTTCTGCGCAAACTGGGGATGGTAATGAAAGGGCAGTTTATGAGTATATGAGCTAAGCTCATTTTTGTTTGTTTTAATTTGGTGATTTTTTCGCAGGCGAACAGCATAACTTGACCCCGCCTACGATAATAACTTTTGTGCCACTTGTGAAAGTGGGTTTGCCCCGTTTACAATGATCAATTTCCGTAGTAATGTGACTAGCTAGCGAGTATTTTCTTTGATGGCCGCAATATTATCTGTGATAATTAAGGAATTTGAGCTGACATTTACAAGCACTATCACTAAAATGGTCACCACTGTCAATTCAGCGCGAACTGGCTATGAGAGTATTATTGAGATGCACTTAATAGTGCAGTGGTAAGAGGTGTATGGTTTTAATTAACTCCAAGATCCTATGTTGGGGCTCATAATTTTTTTTTAAAAAATATATTTGGAGGAACATCTCTTCTTCCAAATCTCCTTTTTTTAAGATGGAGTATCACTGCTGGTTCACCATATAGTTTCATGCCCAAAACGACAAGAACCGGCAGTGTTGCTCTGTCGGTTCGTTCAGCTGTCGGATCACGTATTCACGTTAGCCGTTATTCTCTCGATTCAATGGATCGGATGCATAGATGCTCGGCCCTAACTAATACTATTAATTAATTACATTATTCATGCATCCATTTTATCTCTAGAAACATTCCATACTGCAGCTTGGATATGTAGCTAGCTTTTGCAATAATGTTGATCTCTATAGCTATAGCTACATACATTGCTTCCGGGAAAGGGATATAAAAGATGATAATGACATGATCAAAAGATTGCCAAAGGATATTAGCATAATTCTTCATCACTCTAGACCAAGAACAGGAAGAATATGCATCAAATGCATGCAGCTAATGCTTGAGAGTTGAAACGAAACATGCTTTACATCGATATGGTTCGCTTTGGTATGTTCTCCTTTTGTATTGTGCATATCAGCTACTTTTTGCTTGCTTAAAATATTTTTAGGTCATTTAGTTATACATTGTGGGAGGAGAATATATGTTCTGTCGGCTGCACTCTCTTTTAATTTTCTGGGGGATGCAGGATGCAGGTTGCATGAGCCGTTGATAGAGCCAAATACACATATATGCACTCATGCATGTATGTACATGACAATGTCTGGCTTTGTAATTGGAATCATATCAAAATTTGAACACACGTATTTTTGTCAGATTTTTTTCATCAAGAACCCAGATAACGATTGCATCCTCTGTCTTAATTAATTACCGCGGCTGCAGCAACAAATGCTACTCATTATAGGGATTTCAACAAAGAACACGCCTGTTGACCAATCTACAGTTTTAATTTCTTGAGAGAGATCAGTTAATTTGCATGTATATATATCTTCTGGTCAATTTTAACATGCATGCTTTCTTAATTGTGATTTGATATTTTAATTAGGGGTGAAAATGGATTGGCTAGTTTCTGACCGATTCAGAATTTCCGGAAACAAAATGTATCAGCTCGGATAGCTAGTGTTGGATTCGGAATAAAATTCAGATTCTTTTTTCTTCACGTATGGAAATAAATACAGAAGTTTTAATATCCACCGGGAATGAAAACAATCGGAAACTATCCGGATAGGTGTTCAGATAGTTCTCAGAAACAAAGACTTAGACCTGTAGCCCATATTACTTTTAACTTTAGGCTCATATCTCTAGCCCAACTCATTATCCAATATTTTTATCTTAGAAACATAGTATGTGGAGTAGCTATTCTTATATTTACTAGCTTCAAACCATATATACGTTGTATGGGTAGTATTATTGATATTGTAAATATTAAAAATTTAATAATGTATTTTAAATAACACTATCTCCTTTTATATCATAAGTTATTTTTGACTTTTTTTTCTAGTTAACTTTTTTAAGTTTGATTAAATTTATAGAAAAAATATAGCAAACATTTCTAACACAAAAGAAACATATTATCAAAATATATTAAATGTTAGCTTTAATAGAACTAATTTGATGTTGTAGATGTTGTTAATTTTTTCTATAAAATTTAAAAAAGTTTGACTAAGAAAAAAGTCAAACCGACTTATAATATGAAACGGAGGTAGTATTATTTTTTTGAATGTAAGAACTGATTCTTTTTAAATAAGAGTATAGATCAATTACATCTTATTAATTATTAATATTAGAATTAAATTAACTAATTTCTAAATTGAGAGTCTAACATGGATACAACTTCATATTTATCATTTCAAGTATTTTAAATTATTAAATTTTAAAAAAACAAAAACTAATGTACAGAGGAGTAAAAAACAAAGTATGACATATTATATTTAACAGGAATTTAATATATTCTTTCGGGTGAAATAATGAGTTATATCTCTTTGTTTATATTGAAAGCACAGTCTAAGGGATTTCATGTTCCGATAAATATTCGTGATTGTATTCTTTCTGGTTCATATTTGCTCTGTATGTGTAGTATTTATTTTTATTTTCATATCTAGGGTGACTATATTAGTTTTCATTCTTAGAAAAATATATGAAACCGAATATGATAGAACTAGCTGGTTTCCGTCCGTATTCGAGCTAGCTGTTTTCATTCCTACTATTAATGATGGTACGATAAAAGAAGAAGAGAAAACACATGTTATCCCTACTTGGTGAAAACATATAATAGATAATATTTGATAGACGTTAAATATAAAATACAGGAGCCATAAACTGACTGGACCAAATTAAATCATATTACAACTAATTTGAGAAAACAACATGTGTAATATGATGAAATAGAAGGAGCATGCACACATAAGTTTCTTTAAACAATTAAATCAAAGGAAAAAAACACATTTTTTTCACTAAATTTACTAAACAGATGAAATAATATGGGACAGATTAAAATGGTGTTTTGCACAAACTACCTTTTTGCATTTTGTACACCATAAAATTAGGAACCAATTTTTTGGTAATCAATTTTGGAAGCACTTCTAGTAATTTAATTTTCAAAATGGTTTAATAATTTAAAAACAAGAAAAAAAAATCCATGGACAAACTGATGCATGGGAGTAATTTTTTTTTTTGTTTTCTTTGCCAAACTAACTTGACATGCCCTCATTTGATTTTTTGATGATATAGGAGTATCATTTATGCTGTTGAACTATATCACTTACACGTGGACCAGTGGTGGAGCCCGTATCTTCACAATGGAGGTTCAGACTTACTTGGCTCCATTCTAAAATGTAGCTATTTCTAGCACAGTAACTTGTTCCAAAATGAAGCTATTTCTTCACCTATCTTCTCTTCTCCACCAATCACAACTCTCATCCAATCATCTCTACCTACTTTCTTAATATCTGTGACTACCTATAAAAATGCTTACATTATGGCAGGGGTGGACCCAAGGGGGGTGCCGGGTATGCACTAGCATACCCAATAATTCCGAAAATAAGTTAACATGTAGTAGGTATTAAACATCTCTGTATTAGTATGTCTAAATGTTTGATGAAAGCTTTCTCGTGTGGCAATACACCAAGGCTCAATAGGCCCAGCTGGTGGTAGGTTTTCAATTTCTGGCGTTATCTCCATCTCGCTAGCCTCGACCGTGCCTTGTGGCGGCACAGAGTGCAGACGAAAGCGACGAGCGACCATCAGCTAATAACCATGTACTCCCTCCGTTTCATAATGTAAGACTTTCTAGCATTACCCACATACATATAAATGTTCATGAATCTAAACACATACATATGTCTAGATTCATCAACATCTAAATGAATGTGGACAATGCTAGAAAGTCTTACATTGTGAAACGGAGGAAATAGTATTTCACTTTTTTACTTCCTCTGAATCATTGATATATCCTCTTTCTCTAGATGACTACATTTGAAATTGAAAATTGAAATACGAAATCATTGAAGGCGTGTTTCATGATTTGTAGGATTAGGTAAATTGAATCAGTCAATTCTGATTAGGAACATGGGCATTTCTTTATTCAGCAAGTCACCGAAAACTTCTGATTCTACCAGTTCTACATTACCCATGTCTTCACTCCTGTCACGGTGATGAGGAAATTCCGAACAGGGAGGAATAATAAGTAAAGAAAATAGGAATTAATTGGAATTTGTGCTGTCCATTCTTCTTCAATTCCATCTCAGGGTGCATTATCGATCCAATGCTAATAATACTATTTGTACTAATACTTTTGATAACCTGATGCCTAATTGTATTAGCGTGTAGGGAGGCTTTAATTTGGCTTGTCACATGGGCACACCGACGACAAAAAACCTGGGTCTGCCACTGCATTATGGGACGGAGGAAGTAGATGACAATTGACAAACCAACAAAGCCAGTCGCACATTCAAACAAATCAACAAGATAATTCAAATGACATATATATTACAAAAGTTCAACTGGTTTTTATTGCATGCACTTGTGTATAAATATGGGTATTATGTCAAAAAGTTTGGGGGTATAGATGTACCCCCATGAATCACCCTAGTTCGCCACTGATGTGAACCATCCCGAAACCTACCAAATGGTCAAAATGTGAGATGAAGAAACAAGTTAGTGGAAAAACATATATGTCCATATTTATATATTTCTCGATGAAAAATGTATTGCAGCATATATTGATCCAAGCACACATATCTATAAGTTCTAAAAAAAGACGCACGCGCGTGCGCACACACATGTGTGTGTGTCAAAGATACCAGATTCAACATTCAGACACCAGCTAGCTGGCTAGCTAGCTAGCTAACTTGTGCTAGAAAGAAAAAAGAATTGTTACGGCATAATTATATATTCCAAGTTCTAATTTAATCTGAATAGCAAGAAAAGCAACAGTAGCGTAATGTCTAACTAATGAAAGAAATGTCTATAAACACACACACACATATATATATATATATATATATATATTTGCGTTGTATGCACCCATGCGTATATATTAGGGAGAGAGGGAGGGAGATAATTTGCTGACAGAAAGAGAAGTGAGCACATATAGCTTCAAGCACATGAACTCTCTCTCTCTATATATATGTATCTCTTCAGTCAACACACATATGACCACATATGCAAGGAAAGAACTATATATGCTCACTCTCTTCTGTCGGCTCCCTAGCTCTTTTGTTCCTTCCCTGTATACAAATCAGCAAGACATGTCATCATGCTTGAAAGTTATTGATTAGCAAAAAGGAAAAAAAACACATGCCCAAAACAAAAGGTGTGGCCTCTCATTCTCTTGATTGCTTTCCAAGACCTTAACTTGTGACTTTAGTTTCATAGACTACTGTTTTATTTGAATGTGTGGCTTATGGGTTCTGAAGGGGATGGCATGGTATTTATAGGAGGAGATTGCGAGGGGATGCATGTACACAACCTACTCCCTTCAATTTCCTAGTTTGAACAGAATAAATGCCTCATCCATTAATTAATTTGCTGATGCCACAAAGAGGTGAACTTGTGTTTTCTTGTACTCCCTCCATACTCGTAAAGGAAGTCGTTTAGGACAGCGACATGGTCTCCAAAATACAACTTTGACATCTTGTTTCTATAAAAATATTTATTGAAAAGTGATATATGTATACTTTTATGAAAATATTTTTCAATATAAATCTATACATATAATTTTTATATTTTCAAACTCAACAACTTAAGAGTTATTCATGATTTATATTTCCAAGGTTTGACTTAAATATTATTCTAAACGACTTCCTTTATGGGTATGGAGGGAGTATACCTCTAGGTTCTTGCTAGTTTGATCATCTTATCCTATATATCCATGCATGCATGGCTGAGCAACAAGCATAGAGGTAACAGAATTATAGGGCCTTGTTTGATTAAGATTACTGTGGAGAGTATTCGGATTACTCTACATAATATAGAAATAAATTAAATATTTTAGGAAATAAACTTAACAGATAGCTTAGAATAACTGGTCGAAACAATGCAGTGTAGAAGAATTTTTGTTTTGAGAAAACATATTTTTCAAAGCATAACTCAAATAATTAATTTTAAATAATCCAGTGAATAATCTGAAAACAACGAGGCCTGAGGTCAGCTAATCTGTCCTAATTGCATCGGTCGAATTTAAAACTCCTGTAAAGAGTATCTCGAGCCATTTATAGTTCAAAAGTGAAGTTAGTTCGTTTACAAGGTGTTCGAGCTCCCTTTTTTTTTTTGAGAGAGAAGATAGATTTTGTTGCTAGCTCGTTGGTCTACATGCATGGAAGATATCCCATCTTTCAAAATGTTCTGGTTGGTCTTAACTACAATCTCACACACGAGAACATGATTATGCATTTTAACTATTGACCCCCATTAATTTTTGTCAACTCTTATATATGGGTTAGGAGTACTGCTTCTTGTTATAAAGGAAATGAAAAGGTCCGAATTACCCCATTAAACTATCACGGTCGTTTGAGTTAGCCTCTAAAAATACTAGATATTTTACACCCTCAATTATTCAAACTGGACAAATAACCCTCTCATTCAATCCGGAGTGGTTTTGTTCATGGCAAAATTTGCTATAGGGCATAAAAAAAGCGTAATTAGCTGGTGGACACCGCAAGAACGCATATATATTGTAGGACACTATAAAAAACTGATAATTAGCTGCTGGACACTTACGATATTATTTATTATTTCTGATAGAATTGGAGAGAGAAATAGTAATTAAAGACAAGTTTGCCCCTGACCGAACTTATTTCAATCCGACTGGTTCCTGTTCAAACCAGCCACGAGGCTTTTCGCAGTAAATCGATGCCTGTCGCAAACCCGACGAGTACTGGCGGCAAGTGCGTGGCGCGGCGGAACTCAGTTGCCAAATGGAGGGTACACGTTCTCTGCACCGTCGGTTAATCAACTAATCAAGTTGTCTTTTGGTGACAAATATTTCCTAGTGCCATAGACCAACTAGCATCAGAGTGGATTATAACAGCAGGTGCATGTATCGTCGCAGTGGCAGTGCAGGATCGAGGAGGAAGAAGCAGCCAAAGGGCAGTAATGGCGCAGGTGGAGAAGACGGGCGCGCGAGAGATTTTCTCCTCTGCATGTGGAATCTCCTGCTCGCTTTATCCCGTGCGCCAGGCACAGCCCTATTCGCGTCCGTGCGTGGCGCGCACACGCCGTGGCATGCCAATTACCATGCTGCTCGCGTCGTATATGGTGAGAGACCGTACGTCGTGTGGGATGAGACGGGTATTGTCGTTAATGGTGGCACTGGCATGCGCGGCGACGATGCCTCTGGCTGCTTGGGCCGCGGCGTGCGCGAGCACATGTGCGCAGCGACGACGACACCGACGACGCGGCATGTGTCATTTACGTGCTCGGCCACTCTCCTTTAATTTGTCGGGTGATCAGCCGGTGCCGCGATCGTGTCACTGACTCACCGGCACCGTCCACTGGGGACACAAGGGATCGTGTCATGAAGAGCAGGGTTAGAATCGTGCTCTCACACATTAGTTTCTCTCTCCAATTTTCCCGAAAATAATAAAATAATATCATGAGTGTCCAACAGTTAATTATCAGTTTTTTACGGCCTACAGCAGATACGTCTTGCGGTGTCCATCAGCTAATTACACGTTTTTCGGATGCCTTGTAGCAAATTTTGCCGTTGTTCATACGTGGTATACATGTGGCAATCCAATTAGCACTTTTTTATTAAACAATTCGGTGGGGCCCACTTGTCATAGGCAAGCTCGACCTTATCTCTTTCCCCTCTGGCCTCAATCATGAGCTTCGTCGACGACATGAGGGCGAACCAAGCGTCAGCCACCGTCCCTCTTCCTCTTTTCCCCAGCGAGGCAAGGCATGGCTAACATCTTGGAGGAGAGAGCTATGCCCGCGGAGGCGAGGTGCTCGCCAGCTGTGGCTGCCCCTGGTGGACGATGGACGACGGAGCTTGGAGAGCGGGAAAGCATCCACCTCGCATACTCCGGCTCTGCATAGCTCACGCGGAGATGAAGCTCGAGCGGAGGCAACGGTGAGGAGGCTGCAGCAGCGATGATGAACGACTACAAGGCAGTGACCGGTGAACCAAGACGCACTTGTGACTCGACCTCCTCTGGTCGACGACTTCTACTTGCCGATTGACATGCTTGTGGAGGAGAGAACCACGCCACGCGAAGAAGGGATTGGTGTGGAGACCAAGCTGCGGCATCGGTGGGGAGACGCTACAGCGAGGTAGCAGGCCGACAGGCTGGTCACCGGCTGCATGCCATGCACAACGTGGGCACTTGTGGCCCACCAGCCGCATCTTACAATAGCGGACGTGGGCACGCGGCCCCGGTGCTAACCTGCACAACATCTCCACCACCACCTCCCCAGGACACCGCCAACGCCGTTCCAGTTCCTCCATCCGTAGCACGAGCAGGGATAAGCAGATGTGGCCCTGGGCTTCTCTGTCCTACCACGCTCCGTTGTCGGCGCCGTGGGGGACCAGTATCTGCCGCTGCCATGGACTTCTTCGACTGCCTCCACCATTGACGCCTCCTTGGCCCCGTCGCTCTCGCCTTTCCTCTGGATTTGAGGCCGCCGCCGCTGTCATCCTGGGATTCTTTGGCCGACCGTGCACCGCCGCTTCCCTGGGCTTCTCCGGCTGATCACGCTCCACCACTAGCGCCCCGGGGGTCTAGTCTCTGTCGTTGTCACACCACCGCCGCTGCCTCCACCTCCTCTGTGCTCGGTTCAAGGTAGAGAGAGAGAGAGAGATTGAGGGGGGGGGAGGAGGCAGAAGAGAAGGGGAGAGGAGTGCTGGAGCACTGACAAGTTGGCCATGTATTTTTTAAATATTTTTTTAGCCACTTTAGAAATGTCATTTCAGCCAGCCTAGCCCAAAATAGTGCTCGGGTGTAATTTGTCCGGATTAAAGAGTTGAGGGTTTAAATTGTCTGTTTTTTGAATTTTTTTGTGGGTTGGGTAATTCGATTGACAACTATAGTGTTTTTTTTAGGAGGGGTGGGGATTCGGACTTTTTCCTAGAGGAAACTATTTGTCTAAATTAGTTATGCCATCGTCATCAGTTGCATCTTGTGTGATAAACACATATATACTAGTCCCCACTCTATTGTGTCGTGGGAAAACAGAGAGCTTTAACAACCATTAGCTACTCCTCCTAATGAATTAGCGAATAATGGTAAATTTTGGAATAGTTATTATGACATTATTGAAGTTGTCAACTATTATGTATGTGTTAGGAAAATGTCCATTCTATACAACACTAAACTTTTATATAAATGTGTGCAAAACAACAGTGAACTTCTAAACCATTGTCTAGATAAAGAGTGTTTTCAGTGAAATGACGACCAAGTGGCAATGTAGGGAGAAGTACAGCACATCGAGTATTTGAATTGATGTAAGCCAGCGCTAAAACATTTCTTGAATTTTTTAAATTACTTCAAATATTCTTAAAATATTATCACTATCTTTTGGACTATCTATAACCTAAATAAATTTGGCAACTGTGAAACAATATGTAGCAGTTTAGGACTTTGGTAAAAGTTGAAGGTTGTAACGTCAACAGTTTCTCCTCTATATGATAAATTTTATTGTTCATTATTACTGCTTTTTAACACCCATGGTTCACAACACACTTCACACCGAATTCATTTTTCCTTAGTAGTTGGTTGTCAACACATTCTTGAGGGAAACGATATATCCTCAAAAATTTATATGCTACTAGCAACTTGAGAAAAAAAACAAGGTCCATTTTACAACTTTGGATTGTCACGCAAGTTTGGTTTTCAATCCAAAACTATTGAAATCATTCAGTTTTTTATGGTGGTGCAAAATTCGAATGGTTTTGGTACCTAAACACTTGAAGAGTTTTGAATATGTAAATTCTGGAAAGATTCTCACTTAATTGAGAGTATTTACTAGTAAATAATTTTGGTATTTATAATTGATGCAGGGTGTTTATAAGTACTAAAACCATTTTGAGTCCCCCAATAAACTTTACTTTCTAAGGAATTAATCGATTTAGCTATGTTCTCTTGAAAAGAATTAATAATTATGAGTGTACATGCTGTCATGGGGATCAAAAGTGTTTTCCACATCTTAAGGGGATGACCCCTTGTTTTCTCAAAATACTTTCGAAAATTAATAAAAAAAACTTATAAAAAGATGACATTGTTACTATGTAACATATGATAATCAAGGAAATTCAAAGTCTAAATTAATCATCTCTCGTATTGAGAAAAAAAGACGAATCTAAACTGTGAACAATACTTAATTACATTATTCACCACTATATTTCTCCTTTTCTTTTTCTTGGTTTGTAGGTCGAGTTTTGACATGAGAT